AATCCACCCACATGCAGTTTACACTAGTCGAATATTTACTTCAAAATTAATTTCAATTCCAACTGACATGGGTACTTCTTATTTTAAAATATAAATCATATTGACATTGCATTTCAATTAAAAATTATACTTTGGATATTTAGGCTCCACAAATATTAGTTTGTATATTCCAAACGAAATAAACGAAGGTAAAATTTTTTATTTAATTTATAATGTCAGGAAAATGTAAGCTTTTTCGTTAATAACGATAGATGGAGTCTCAACGTTTTAAAATAATTATATATTAATTTTAACAAAAACTGGGCTTTAAATGTCATATTGAAAATGTGTCAGAAGAATCAAATAGAGACGACAAGAGTCCTAGTCAAGGTAAACTTTTAAGTAGCCTTGAGTAGTATTTTAAAAGTTTATTCCTCTTAAAATATTTTTATTTCATATTTTAGCGACGACTTCAGATGTTGTTTCATGTAATTATTAAACAAGTTGTATGTTCCGTTTTATAAAAATCAATATTAATATACTAAGACACTTGTTTGCGTGTATCTCTAGCATATATGACTAATATCGATATTGATGCCGAATCTACAACTGCCAGTTTATATGTTCAAAATGAAACAAATGAAGGTAAAAATCACTTTGATATTTTTTTTATTAATTTCTTTAATTACATGTAATTGCTATTTTTTCTTTGTACATGTAGTGCAAGAAAAAATACCAAATGAAGATTCCGATCAACGTCAAGAGATTACTCGACTCAATTTTATTATTACACAATACATACAAAAACAAGGTGAATGGGAACGTGAACGAGGTGAATGGGAACGTGAACGAGGTGAATGGGAACGTAAACGAGGTGAATGGGAACACGAACGACAAAATTTATTAAAGGAAATTGAAAATTTATGGAATGAAAATGAAGTTAAAAATTATAATTAAAGAATATTTTATTTACCGTTAACGCCGACATATTTTTTTTATTTGTTATCATTTATTTTTGTTTTGTTATCGTTTCAAAGTTTTAAATAAAACACTTATTTTATAAAGTGAACTCAAAGATGAATTTTAAAACATTCATCATTGTAGTGAATGCGTTTTTTATCGGGTATGGGATTACTACAATAAATGTAGTAAATTTACTCCTCGTCATTTGAATATCATAACGATAACGATAATAAGCAAATTATAATTCACCGATATTTTCATCCTTCCCCAATCCGAAAACGTCGTTTGGAGTCAACAAGTACAATTCCTAGTCTTATGCTACAATAATTACATCAATTATAATGAAAAAAATGAGAAATCTAGATTATTCATTTGACGTTATCATTATATTATTTAATGTGCTTACCGTTTAAATAAAACACTGCCATAATCACTAATAAAGATGGCATCTAATACTCATGATTGTAGTAAATGCTGGGATTGTCAAAAGGGTTACTACGTACTGCAAAGCGTTTTCAGTTCACAATATTCACGATTGTAGTGACTGTACCAAATGTCAAGAAAATCGGTACTGTTCTGGATGTTTTTTATATCACAAACGAGGAAATAAAGATATCTACAGTCTAATAAATGAATGCAACAGAATTGCTGGTGAATATGGTATCAATATATATAAATTTTTCGAATGGATCCCTTTTGAAAGATTTACAAATGTTGAATATCTTGCAAAAGGAGGCTTGGATCAATTTATAAAGCAACCTGGTTGGATGGACCATTAAATGGTAATTGGGATCATGAAGAAAACAAATTAATACGAATTGAAGAATTTTAGGTAAATGAACACTTTTAAGTGTAGCATATTGCTTTTTTGTTTTTCAATCTAATTAATTTTTTTCAAAATTAGACTCAGTTATTACGGAATAACTAAAAACTCAGCTACGTACGTACTCAAATAGTGATGACTTATCGTTACGTTAAGTACAGAAGATGGCGATCTACGCGTATACATGTACATGTACATGTATCATATTCTTTCAGGGCTGAGTAAAGTTCACCACCATAGGGGATTTGTGCGTCCTGGAAATATATTACAGTTCAAAACAGCGCAAATTTCTGATTTTGGACTTACCAAACCAGCCGATATAGAAAAATCTGATCAAAAAATTTGCGGAGTAGTTAATTCCAAACGAAAGTAAACTTGTTATATTATTTTTATTAAAATATATTAAGCATATTTATTTGCATATAACTCTAGAATATGTGACTTATTCAAATGAAACAAATGAAGGTAAAATTTATGAGTTATACCACGACTTTTATTGTATATATTTTTTTATAACGTAATGTAATGCTAGCATATGTCTCACGAGAGTTTGATATTGATGTTGAGAATGATCGAAAAGATAAGTTTTTTCAACGTTTTAAAATATTGTATATTAATTTTTTTTTAACAAACACTTGGAGAGCATAAAATGACCAGCAAACGTCCTATTGAATACGTATCGAAAGAATCAAATAAAAGGAGAAAGGTTTCATTTTTATTGAATTAAGACAAAGTTAAAAGAATAATAGCTCAGGTAAAATTTTATTTTTAATTAATGAAAAAATTAATATTTTCTCTTCCTTTATTTTTACGTTATTCAATTTCTTAACGCAGAAATCGACTTCCACACATACGTATACGTAAATCATCATTAGCTTATTTATATTACTAGTGGATCCTAAATTTTGATCATAACGACACACAATACCGCATTTTGCGGAATAAAATACCCTCCTTAGTACAATATCTCCCTTTCCTTTTTTAGTAATTTCGTTGTAAAAAATCCGTGTACTATATATGGTATATATTACATGAGATTTGTAAACATATCTAAATAAAAAAATTTTGAAACTGCATTAATTGTGATGATTGTAAAAAGTAAGGAGCAATTGCGATTATTATCAGAGTTAATCACTTCAGAAATAATTGAGCAATGCATTCCCTGCTAAACGGACAAATGCATAGATCTATAGTTTTGGATCTGCTCGTAAGCATCGATTCATTAATTCTCTTTGCTACGATAATGATTTAATTGCTAAAGGGACCTATGCTGATGTTCTGCAAAAGAGGCTGACAATTCATTTCGTCCGAAAAAACCAGAAGTAACGGAATGGATAGAAAGGTACCTTTTGTTTTTTCCATTTGTTTTGAAACCTTCAAGGCTAGAATTTTCATATTATGCTTTTTTATTTTTAGTCCGTTTGTGTCGATTGATGCGTAAAAAATGACAAATGATTGCCATTTGTGTGTTAAATCGATTTATGTGCGATAGAACGCATAAAAAAAGAAGCCTTTTATGACTTCTATCGTGTGTAAATAATAAGAGGCTCTTTTAATATAGCAAATGCGTAATATGTGAATTTTTATGCACGTTAACATAAACTGAAGTTCTATCGCTATGAAGATATAGCGATAAGAATGGTAATTTGATGAGATAGAGATACACATTTCTCTATTTATATTATTACCGTTACCGTTACATATGATAGCAAGTAAACGGTAAATGTACGTACTGTAATTGAATAAAATAAAATAAAATAAAATAAAATAAAATAAAATAAAATAAAATAAAATAAAATAAAATAAAATAAAATAAAATATAAACTCTAAATACAGATAAGAGAGTTAAATTCCAGATGAATATGAATATGAATATGAATAAAGCAAGTAATTTATGATTTTAATGGTTCTATATCGATATAAATTCAGGGACAAACTTGTAAGATAATTAATAATGATTTTTGAATACATGTATTTAATCATTAAAATTTAATTACTGTATACAATATCCGAGGCCTTATTCAAAACTTCCCCAAAAAAACTTCCGGGGAGGGGTATTTTAAATGATCATGTCAAATTTTTTATAACTACGTACGAATATAATAAAAAGGGCTACTAATAGTAAAATTTCCGATGTGTATCTAAATTTTGGGTGATAGCTTAATGCCTTTGGAATAATCTGAAAATGGTATGTCTTTTGTTTATATAGCGATAGAGCCATTTCGTAATAAATTAATAAACTGAGAGTAAAAATTGAATCGTTATATCAAAACAACATATTATAATGTATCTTATAATAAATATTTACTAATCATAGAAATTCGAATTAACACTTTAATTTAAAAAAATATTTGCTAAAATAAATATCACTTAATATCAATATATTAATTTCCCTATTGCTATGGGAGGAATTTTTTTGTTACGTTAGGAAGCATATCGATATACTATATAGCGATAGTTCTTATAGATATCCTAAACTGACTAAGAGAAATTTCCTATTTTTCAGATACTAAACAATTTAGTACATGTATTCATAATTCTTCATGATATTAAATTGGCAGGAATTTATTAGTTCTTTATTAATAAGAAATTAAATACTTTATAATTTAAATGATAGGTTACATTGAAAAAGCACAATTGCTAAATACAGTGATATCTGATTTAAAATTTGTAGATAAATCGTTGATTTCTTGTGATGGCATACAGTCCGTACTTTCTATTATAGAATTGTACTTTGAAATATTAGTTTGATCGGATTCTAATGAAGAAACTTGTAAAGGCAAAAGTCAAAGAAGATGCATCTTGCATCTTGTATTATGAAAGAGATTTTAATTTTTCGTCAGAATTAGTTTTTTTTGTATACCATGAGCAGAAATTTAATATAATATGTTTGTTAATTCTAATGGATATGATAATAATAATATACGTAACGAATTACTATAATGATAACGATAACGATAGATAATACATGTATCAAGAGTGGCCGATAATTTTAATTATCACGGAACGTTATGCTCCGTGAGTATAAAATAAATGTCACCAATATCAGATAAAATTCACAGCTAACGCTGTGAATTTTACTAATGTCTCGGTATTGCGTGGTTATCTAGTACTTATTTTACACAGGAATAATCATCTAAAATATCAATTAACCCGGATTCCATTAATCAAAATGTCGTCAAACTCGATCATTTGTAAAACACCCTCAGCATCTTCAGTAGCAGATATTTTATCAGGCAAATCCCAACGTTCAACATTAATAAAGTCTTCCGAGGTCGGATCTGGAAAACTTTCATAAGTCAAAGTGGGTTCCGACTGTTGATTTGTATTCTCTGGTGGATTAGGTGACAATAAATCGGGCACTTCAGAAGCTTGATTAATTGATGACATTGAAGACGAACGATTACGATTACGTCTAAAGAACGAATAAGCCAGCTGTTGCGTAGAAACAATGAATCCCTGAGTACTTTTTGGTCGCTGTTTTTTCTTTTTACTGTTCTCACGAGAATCAAAAGTTTCATTGATGTCTTCGTGGTCATTGTGATTTTGATTTATATTCACTGCGGGTGAAGGTATTGATGATTCACGTATTAAGACGGGTGGTTGATGTTTAAATGAATCTCGACGCAATCCCCGTATAACATTATGACTATTTGTCGTAGATGACGATTTGATATCCGAATTAGAAGTTGGTGACGTTACAGATAAGAAATCATTATTATTACCATCTAACGGTTTTGATACTGTAGGGGGAAGTTTATCCGGTGACAAAGTTTCACTCTTATTATTTAGTATTGATATTTTATCCATTTCAATTGGTGAATTACTGACTTCATCTTCTTTAATTTTATCTGAGATGCTAGTGTTAATCGGGAGTAATAACGATTGTTGCTTTGATTTGTTTGATGAGGATGACAATGAAGATGAAGCTGCTTTTTTGAGCCGTTTCCCAAGAAAAAAACGCTTTCTTGTATTATTCGATTTTCTTTCATTATTTTGAAAAAGTTTATTTGTAACTTGTGGTGATTCTGGGATCATTGGTATCGTAGAAGTAATCACTGTGTCATTAATTTTGTTGCTGTTATTTTTGATCTTATTATTGGATGAAGTGTTACGAAAAGAATCTTTTAAAGGTGACTTATTTAGACGAGATTTTTTCGTATCAACAGCAAAACTATTGGTATTAACATTTTCACTTTTATTATGTCGGTTAAAGAGCTTCATTTTTGTGTATTCGTTGTCGTTTCTAATATCTTTTTGTTATTTATAAAAATATAATGTACCTAACTCGTAAAAAAAATGCTAGATTATTCTCGTGTGGCTTGTATGGAATATTACATGTAGAATGAAAAAAGGGATTGTCGTAAATTTAAAATATATAAGTTGCAGAATAGATATAACGATAAAGAAAAAAATTTAGTTTGAGCTTAAAATAATAATGAATAAAAGTTTGACATTAAAATAAGTCCATTTTATTCATGAAATTTAGTCATTTACATGTACAAAAGTATCGATGTACACGTACATGTACCTGTGTTAATAACGATAAGAAACACGTGTACTGTAATTTCTTGTTCATGTACATGTACATGTATCTTGTATCGGTATTAAACGAATCCAACATTCCGTGCCGATCTGTGTTATCAAATGAAAATGGTGCGCATCTAGCATAGCGCGCTTAAATCTGATTGGTTGATCTTCAAAATGTATCACCGCATATTTCCTATACATGTATATAAAAAGATGATCATCCGACTTTAAATGGATTCGCAACCACAGAGATGAATTCGCAGACAATAACGATGAAATTTTTCGACTTATTAGTATACGTTATCTTTTATATACTGTTAAAGTAATTTGGCAAAAGGTGAAGTAATTCTGAAGTTAGCTTTAGAGGAATGTTTGCAATTTGGTACTTCAGAATTAGAATTTTGACAAAAAATAATTTATTATTTTATAGATGGTGCCTGTACAGCGTCCTATTGATGAGAATACTGTGACCTGGATCCTTTATTAATCATTAACGTTAAGAAAGTATGCTATTTTATCAACCAAAAGAATTTTAGCAAAATTAAAAATTATCTACAAAAATTAGCCAATCACAAAGAACGCCCACTGAAAATTACTTATATAATTGGATATGATTGGTCAGATTTATTTTAGGTGTGACTACTAACGTTAATGCTGAAATTTTAAAAAAATGCATTATTTAAAATATACATGTATAAAACTTTAAATGTAAAAATTACGTCATTTAATACTTTTTGATAAGTACTATCAAGTAACGTATTTTATTTTAAAGTTTATATAAAAAATCCTTTGCAATTCAAAGTATTAAGCTGGGTGCACCACCATAGTTAGTAAAATCTATAATTGGAGATTTTTGTGTAACATTTAAAATGCAAAACAGCTGTTAGACTTTGACGTGTAGTTTGTACAAAAATAAGTGTTTTTTATCCGTTCTGTCAAGAATTTGATGAATTGGTCGTATTTGTGCTTCTTTGTCAGATTAAAGTCATTCGGCACATATGTCGTTTCTGTCTTGAAAATTTTGACCGTCAACTACTCGTTCAACTTTGGGCACGGGAGGATTTAACTATTTCCCAAATAATTAACGGAATGTACTCTTCATGATAAAGTTGCGAAAACAATGACGAATTAGTTTGTTCGTACACAAACATCCCATTAAGTTCTGTTGGTGGTCGCGTATTATGAAACAATTCGAAAATATAAGTTATTATAATTATCTTGAAGGTATAAAGCGAAAAACGGAACTTTATTGGAAAGTTTGAGTTAAATTAAACCTAATTTGAAATGAAAAGCAAGCAGAGCGATAGGGTTCAAAGTTATAATTATGTAAAAGGGATCAATTGTGCAACTGAAAATCGAATACCCGATTTTTATTCGTTCGTCTGATACACAAAATGCGTGTGATAGGTTTTTACGCTAACGCTAAGCCAATCTGCCTGCCTAAAAATGGGGGATGCGCTAAAGCATTGTGAACACGTGACCTATGTTTATTACAATTAAAGTTGGATTTTACCGTTAGGATAAGGGTTAAGTTAGGGAAAAGGTTATATGTAAAATTGCCTCACTAACATTTTTTAATAGTCTCCAAGATAGATTTAAGCACACGTTGTCCGTATTTTTTATTTTTTTCGTTCGTGCTTCGGATTTGTTTTTTCGGGCTGATCAGCATTCTTATTGGTTTGTGTTTCGGACAAATCACTGGACTTACAACGCTTTAACGCATCCCTAAAAATGGCGATTTATTTTAATACGGAATTCGCGTGTATAAATAGATACAACATCAAACACTCTTTCCTTCAAAAAAGAGAAAAAATTAAAATGAATAATAACGAATATTAACAGAAACTAGACGTCAACTTCTAAATGAACCTTATGATCTAACTCACAATTGAAGAATTAACAAAGCCTGACAAGAAAAAACGCGATAATTCTGAGAAACCATCACGACCACAAAACAGTTGGATCATTTTCGGAAAGACTATGAAGCTAATTTTACGTCTACGCAGTCATGACGTCAAGCAAAAAGTTAAACATACTGCAAAGGAATGCAGTTTAAAGTGGAAATCGCAACCAGTGAAGTTAAGCATTTTTTCAAAAAATCGGAAAAATAACTTATGAGTATCATAAGCATATATATTCTAATTTCTCATGCATCGAATTACTAAATCATTTCAAGTTTTACATAATTAAAATTCCCGTTTCGGGTTGAGTCTGGTCTTGGCTAGTAGTAAATTGTACAATTGATATAATCGAGTTTTCCTGGCTGGATCTGGTCAATATACATATAATATCCGGATCATCCTGATAATTCAGATACAGATGACCAGATTGGAAACTCTTAAACAGATATATAATGAACGGATCATAAAAGTACCATATCGGGCGGTTTAAGATTCCTGCATAAAGTACCCTCCCACCTTTTTTTACTAATAGTTTCTTCTTTTTACAAATTAACTTTGTCAATGTAAAATACTAGGGTCTTTTAAATCGCCCGATACAGTAATCACAGCTGCACCGTTATTTATCTGATACGTCAGATTTTACAATGTGTATGCAATTATTATAAAAACTATCTTTTACCTTCTTTCTTTTTTTCAGACAACTTTCCACTCAAAATCCTTCTTAGATAATTTCTCACTCAAGAATCTCACAATTTTCACTAAGTGTCGATACGTACTTATCTTTGTCGGTAATACAAAATAAGTGATCATAGCGGAGGTTACTTTCAATCCAGAATAATTAAACAGTGTCGCTGAGACAGACTTCCATTTCTTCATAAACAAGGCTACGGTCGTCACAATCATAACATTTAAAAATATTTTCAAGACAAATCATGGAGGAGCTCCAAGAATAAGGCACAGTTTTTAGAATTACTCACACTCGTTTTTTGGTATTTTCTGTGCATACGCAACTACATAAGTAACCTATCCCCCTCTAAACGTCCAGAAATAAGTAAGCGGCATAAATTTTAAGTACATTAATACATTCTTTTATTGAAATTATAAAATCTCGACGTCCAGCAATCCAATTCAAACAAAAATATCACTCGAATCAGATCGCTGGATATTACATACTAAATGAAAATTTGTATTATTTAAAAAATTATTAGCGTTAAAATCCAGATTTGTGTTATTTTTTGTGTTGTAAAACTTATATTAAGTTTACAGAAGTTAGGAAGGATAGGTTACTTATGACCGGCACTGTATATCACGAATATAAATTAACCGTGATTTATAAAACTTAATGGTATCTTAGTGAAAGATAGTTTACCTTTCTCGGTGAGCAACAAGACCATGATCATAATGCAAATGAAGTGAGATAACCGAAAGTATGCTTCATGGTTGTAGCAAGGGATTTTTAAAGTATCGTGAATTAAAGTTATACCACGCTTCCTAATCAGCCACTCGTGGTTTTTCACTGGTTAAACTAAAATCTAATGCTAAAATATAATTTATTCATTATGCCAATTATTTAATTATATTCATTACATATAAAGTGAATAATATATAAAGCGAATAAAGTTATTTTTAATGTGACTTGTTTACCTGAAGTTGCTTTATAATCATTACTATCCCTTTTTCATTGTAGAAATATTTTCAAAAATTTATTGTCAAAGTTGTAGTTATCTGTTAAAGAAACTAATTACACAGTGAAGTTCACTTGAACGAATCTCACTATATAACGAAGATTTTTTAAAAAAAACCTTCTATTATGAAGGGAGAAGTGGTATTTTATATGTTAAATTGATAAATTCTGTGTTTGTTATTACAAGCACACACTTTTATAGTCTTATCGTCGCGAAATCCATCTCAATTATATTTTTCGTTGATTATATCAGCCTACAATGCGGATTTTCGAATCGTTGCCACAAAAAACACTAAATAATTTTTTGATTTTTTTACACGATCAAATACGAATGCAAAATCCAATCCAGTGAAACTTATGTTTGATTATTCAGGGCAACCAAATTTTTATTATAGCATTCAATCTGATAATATGGCAATTTCTTCTATCATGCATGTAATTGTTTGTATGATATATAGAAAAGATGAAGAAGATGCATCTAGAACATAAAATTGTAATTTAAGGAAAAGATTTACTTTTGATATGATTTAATTTTTTTACCTGATGATAGATTTGGTTTAGAAGCTCTCAAATACTATGGTGCATAAAATCTTAAGTCATCAAACGTTTGTATTTTATAAAATGTATAAACTTCTTTACTAAGAAGTAAATACAAAATTTAATCCGAAAAAACCTATTCTATCATATTCACGGATTAAATTTTGTATTTACTTCTTAGTAAAGAAGTTTATACATTTTATAAAATACAAACGTTTGATGACTTTAGATTTTATGCACCATATATGATAATATAAAGATAATTTCTTAATTAATTGCATTTTATTATAGTCTAATTGTAATTTATAGAAAATAACAGCGATAGTGTATTACTTCGAGATAATTATTGAGGAAATAGATACGGCGATAAGGAAAATCTGTCAAGATTATTTTCGACTACTATTGTAATGGAATTTTACTCTAAAATCCAAGGATATTTAAAAATTCCATAATACATGTACATGTACATTTTAATTTATGAGATATACGTACATGTGCATGAATAAAGAAATGGTGTAATTCGATATATATGTAGCCGGTGAAGAAGTTATATCTATAAAGAATTTTCCAGGATGTTGAATAGCAGTACATGTACTTGTTCATATAACAAGAGCAAAATCAATCAAATTTCATTTATACTCCCAGTTTAACTAAATGCACCGTTCTAGGCTATGTGACCTAATCACATGAATAAAAATAGAACCCATGATTATATCTCAAGACTAAGATTTTCCGCAGTAATTATTACTTTCTAAATTTTTCTAAACCAAAATTGAAATAAGGTTGAATATGAATATGTAATTAATGAAATAAAATTTATTACATAAATTATTTTCAAAAACCCCATCACTCCATCGCCATCACCACAAGAAACACCAATTCTGTTTTCAAAGGAATCTTTAGAATTGACATTCTCTCGTATCCATGGAATCGCATAACCATGTAGTATATTTTTTCCAAATACGCATGCATCAATATGATGGTCTGTATTTTTGTTATTACATGTACTATCTTCGACCTGATTATAATTTTGGTCTACTCGATTGATAGATGTTTCTTTTCCATCACTGATTATAGGCTCAGACTTTATGACTATTGATTGTCATTTTCTTTTTCCTTAGCTTTTTGTCGTCGTCGATAAAATATAATCCCAAATATTTGCGAATCCACACTCAATCTTACTGATCCATTTCCATTCTCAATCACTCTTTTCTTTACAATTGGTCGTAATTCCAATTTTTCACACACCAACTTTAAAGAATTTCATTAATTTTCCCTTGATTCAAATTCCCAGAACTCAATCCATTCACAATTTCTTAGAAACGATCTTGTATCCAATTTTGTAGATGTTGGAAATTTTTGAATCCAGTTTCAACCTGGAAGTTCAAACTTCCGTTTTGCATGCTAATTTCGTTCTGTTGACAGACATCTCGTATCAAATTAAGAGCTGTAGGAATAGTGGTGGTGGCATTCAAAATTGGAGCAATTCCAGGACCCAATAATGATTTGATTAGTTAAATATAATATCTGCCTTCTTGTAGGAAACAAAAAATTCGATTATATATTATTGAAAGGGTTTATAAAAGGGGAAGGATAAAAGGATATGTCGGGAAACACTTTGGTTACCTTGAATTATGAGAAAGAAGAACAGAAAAAATATCAGCCAACAGATAATTCACATTTTTTTCATAGAATGTTGTGCCTGAGATCGACGTTTGCGTCAGATCGCGCTTCACGTGATTATTGGCCAACATTAATCTATTTACCAGCATTAACCTTAACCCTAACTCTAATAAAACTCCTATCCTAATTTGGGCCAAGCGCGATCTGACACAAGCATCGATCTCAGGCACAACATATATATTACATAATTGTCGTTGATATCATTGGCCGATGAAGACTTCGACAATGCTGTGGTAATGGATATGGACTATAACTATTTGGATCTGACTACCATTACAGTTAAAGTTCGATAAAGCGAACCCTCGATAAAGCGAACTCGCGTTAAAACGAAGAATTTTCAGAAACAAACCTATTAACAAAGAGCTTGGTAAAACGAAGAATATAAATAGTACTTTATAACGTTAAGCGAAATTTATTTTCGAATGAACTTTAACTGTACACAATTAAAACTATGTATTACATAGTAACGACCTGATATACATTCATGTATGACGATCAATTTTTATCTTCATTTCCAATTGTCCAATTCCTATAATCTTGTTCAAATTTTTTGTGTTCATAAAATCCTTGATGTTTCATGCAATCTCCTGTTAATTTAGGTGTTGCTAATTTCTGGGCATTAGCCATTTGATTAACAATATGGTCAGCTAGTTATGATATATATATATTGATAAATGGCACACTCTAAATAAAATCGCGGAGCCAATTAATGTACATTAAACATAAACACAATATATATTCTTGAAATGTGGAATGATCATCTAGTAACAAAGTGAAGACCAAGAAAAATTGCAGATCATGTGATTCCGATCCCGATGTCGAACATTCGATCTACCCCTTAAAATTATGCACCAATCAAATCGCAAGATCAATATGCAACGCAAAAATTCAAAAATAAACAAAAACAAATACTTATTTTTGAAAATAGCTTGTATCTTAAAATTTTGCTTATGAAACTATTTTACTATATATCATACTCCCGTCTATTATACGATAACTCTAACTCTAAATCTAACTCTACTCTAACCGAAATTCTATTTAATATTATGCATTATAATTTAAATGTATACATTTTTTCTTTGTTATTACAAGTTTTTGTCAATTATTACAATAAGAACTATAGTAATTATAGAATTTATTAAAAGAAATATCATATTATTTAAAAACACTATATTTTTCCAATAAAAGAAATACTACATTATTTTGATAAAGAATATGCTACAATATTTAACAAAAGAAACTATACATTATTTTTCATGAAAAATGTGTTATAAATTAATGAAAAAGATGCTGTAAAAAAATAAAAAATAATATTATATATACTTTAAAAAAGCAATTAATAATTAATATTAATAATGATAAATTTTTGCTAAAAAAAAACTATATTGCTTTAATAATATTCATAATAATAAAAATTTGTGTTGTAATATCTGCTAAAATAAATATAAAAACAAAATTTGCTGAAAAAGGATATTGCAAATAAACATAGTGCTAGTAATTTACCAAATTTATTTTTATTCACTTTTTTCCAAAAAATTGTATTTTAAAAAATCTGGTAACAATTACTGTTGATTTTATAAAAAATGATACAAAAATCTTTTTATCGATATAAAAACTATATTATCATTATTAAAAAAGTATTATATTAATAGTTTTATAAATATATAATAATTTTATACTGATAATAATAAATTCAAATAATACAAAAATTAAAAATGTAACAAATATGATCAATTTCACAATTTCTAAAAAAGCTTATTTATTTTAATTTTAGCAATTATCTATATAATACTTTTTTTATTTTGAATTTATTTTGCTTTTAATTTTGTTTTTTCTTTTTGTTTAAATCTTCAAATTTTGCTTTTGAATTCATTTTGATTTCTTTTTTTTTCATTTCACCTTTTATAATAACAATTTTACTATTGAATTCACATTTCAAATCTATTTTTATTTACAAATTTTGTTTTTATTTTTCTATTTACTTCTTACTTTTAAACTTACTTTTTCATATATAACAATAATAATTTGCTCTCATATTTTTGCTTTTAAGTTTATTTTTGTTTGTCAATTTTAATAATAATATAATAATTTTACTTTCAAGTTTGCTTTTATTTTTCATTTTTAAAAATATTTTTATTTTTAAATCATTATTAAATATATAATCACAAAAATATAATATAGAAGCTCTCAAAAATATTAATAAAGACAAAATTAATTATATATAATTCTACTGATATTCAGATTTCTTTGATCTAAAAAAGATATTTAATAATTAAGTGATATTATAAATAGATATTAATTAATTTAAAGTACTTTGTTATTATATAGTTTAAAATTGTTAGCCAAAAAAAACAAATATTTGAAGTTTAGTTTAGAGAAATTTGTTGATAAAAAATTTTGTTTATTATTATATAGTAATTTCTCAGATTGTATATATATTTAAATGTGAAATATAAGATATTTAGAATATAAATTGTATTGAATTAAGAAAATAAAAAAACTAAATAAAATAAATAAAAAATAAAAAGCAAAAAAGAGTTATTATATAATAAATTATCATATAATTTAATTAATATTAATATTAATTAATATCAATATTGATAAATTTATAACTTTTATCAATTATATATAAGTATTTTTATGTATAATAATAATAATTCTTTTTAATTCAATAATTATAACAATAGATAACTCTACCTGCTGATCATTTTTCCAAAAATTCGACAAAAGTGTAGAGCGGATATTTTTCACAAAAAACCACATAATATACTAATTAATCAATCTTTTCTTACTAACAAATTCTCTTTCTTTATTATCTCTTTACATATATTACTATAGATTTTATTTCAACTTTCTCTTTATTTTTTCTCTTTTCTTATAAAAAACATAAAAAATACAAAAACATATATAATTCTCATAAAAACACCAAAATTCTTTCTAATCTTTTATCTCCAATACGTGCCATTATGGCACAATCTCCAAACTCTTCTTTAGATAATACTCCAACTTCTAATAATCAAAAAAATATATCTCAAACAAATTTTTCTCTTCCAACTCTTTCTTCCAACTCATCTCTCAAACGTGCAATAATTACCGAAGTAGATCCTTCCCAAATGGAACCTATCAATCAAAATCAAGAAAACAGCAAAAAAAAGAAAAAATCCAGACACGTGCCGTACAACAACAACAACAAAGAAAATAGACGAGTTACACGTAGCATGTCATTAAACAACAATACCCCAACACCCCAAAACTTTTCACAATCACACGCCGATTACTCATCAGCATCTGAAAACGAAACTAATTCACTCAAAATCTCATCTGAAATCTCATCTGATGATATGGAAGACATGGAAGACATAGATTCTATGTTCCCACTCATCAACAAATCACCCCAAAAAAATCAAACTACATCTACACAAATAAAAAACACACCTAACTTAACCATACTAGGCAACAACAAGGAAAAAAACAACGAATGGATTACTATAACAAGTAAAACCTCACACAAAGCGTGGATCAAAGCATCAATTCTCCCACAGGAATCCACACAAGAAAAAATAAACACCATAATCAAACATCTAGCGCATATCCCTGGATATGTATCAACCAAATCTATCCCATTCAATTCTGAATCCTTCATCCAAATCTCATTCGATTCACAAAAAGGATTAGATCAAGCACTCCAAATCTCAATTCATGATCAACATTTCTCCAACACCAAACCCAATCATGAAACCAATCAATTTATCAACAACATCATTGCTCTCAGAGATGTTCCTCTCAACACTGAAGAAAGCCTCATAAGATCTGTTTTTTCCAGATTTGGACACATAGTGGAACTCCGAAAAAAAATTATTAATCAATGGCAATATACAACAATCCGCTATTCCAATACAGATGAAGCCAATGATGCACTATCACACTGGTCCATCCTCATAGGCAATGATCGAGTTAGAATCCTCCCTCTCACCAATCAATATCAAACAATAATAACTCGAGAGCGTTACAAACTCAAACTAACAAACTTACCATATGGATGCACTGCATATGAACTAGATGAATTCCTCTCATCTATAAAAGCCAGATCCTGTTTTATTCCAAGATCACCTGTCAAATATCAACGACAACGCTTCGCTTGGATCCTCTTCGAATCTGAACTGGATGCCGCATTCGCTATGCAACAACACGTTATTCTCAGAAATTCGCAACTAAACTGGGAACTACCTACAGCTATCACATGCAACATGTGCTTTAAAATAGGACACCAAGCTTCAATTTGCAAGAGTAAATTGCGCCGTTCTATTCAATACAAACAACTAAACAAGTTATATCAAAAAAGAGGATTGGAAGTTCGTAAACCAGAAATCAGTATACCCATTCCAACAAAAAAAAATCATACAAACAAGCTCTCCTACAGAATTCATCTACAATTTCCAAAAAAACAGAAAGACAGACTAATTTTTCTGATAACACGAGGTCACCTACGCTACGTCCTTGGAACCAAACAAACCTTAATAACTCTCACAATACTCCCACCGACAATTCTTTAAACTCAATCTCATCTATTCGTAATGCAGTCACTTCACTTAGAAATGATGTCAACAACATCATGGCAAAATTTCAACAACTCGACTCCAAGCTAGATAAAATTCTCAACACCCTCACCACTCAAACACCAAGTTCAAAAACTTCTACTCACACACAATTTGACGATACAACTACTTCACATAATCATAATGACAACATCAATGACATGTTCATGCAGAATGACGAACTCATTGATAACACCATCATTACTCCTCACAAAACTCTTCACTTTGATAAGCTCATCAATCAACTACACCAAAAAGATGTCACAATTAACGAACTCACAAATCAAAACAAACAGCTCTATGAATCATACAATACTCTCAGTGAAAGATTACTCCAACTTGAACAAAATATTAATAATGTACCCTCACAACAACAATA